ACTGGTGACCTCTTGGTCCATGGGTCAGTGTTCAGCCACTGAGCCACACTGGCTGGGGTGTATCTTTCAACTTTTGAATTGATTTTCAAGTGTAAAATAACTGACAGGATGGTCTCTGAGGCCCCTATCCAATACTCCATTCTTTTAGTAAGGCTGGATCTGTCCAGCTGTCTTCCTGGATCATCAAACACGGGTATCTGGGAAGGCAGTAGCAGACTCAGCGCAGTATGACAAGGTTGCAAAGTCTTCTGAAGAACAAGCCAGGGCAGCTAAGCTTGGGGTTAAGAACTTTGGCCTCAATAGCACTGTGTGTGTGTCAACCAACAGAGCTAACAAAACAGAATACCTCATCTCAACAGATGGGCGTATAGCAACTCTGTTCCAGGTACTTTGGTAGGTGCTGAAATTACAAAGATGCTTAAGAAACTGCCCTTGTCTTTGAGACAATTATAGTCTAATGGGGAGAAAGACACAAAAATAGGTAGTTTTGATACCAAGGTACAATGAGAGCAGTCATAAAGCTCTCAAATTCTAAAGCCTGAAAGATATGAGTTAGCCTTTTATAGGTGTGTGTTATATGTCAGGTACTGTGCTGGGCATATTTCATGTGTCATCTCTTTTAATCTTGGAAATGTTATGAAGTAGTCACTATTATTATGTTGTTGTTGTTTTTTAACAGAATAGGACACTAAGGTTTAAACAGTAGAACTGCAGTGATTGAAATGTTCTACACCTGCGCTGTCCTGTCAGTAACCATGTCAGCTACATGTGTCTGTTGAGTACCTGAAATGTAGAAGTACAGCTGTGAACAGAACTTGTTCTTTTCATTTTCATAGTCACATGTAGTCAATGGCTACCATATTGGACAGCTCCGGCTTAGAAAAGTTCTCAACTTCTACAAGATTTTATGTGATGTCCTTTATTACCTCTGTTCATCTCCTACTTTCCTCCTCCACCTTTGCACTCTAGCCACACTGGCCTCCTTAAGGTTCCTCAGGTACACCTCGTCTGTCCCACTTCTGCATCTGCATCGCTCCTTCCTTTGTCTCCTTCAGGTCTTTGCTCAAATGTCACCTTCTCAAAGAGGCCCACCCTGGCCATCCCTGAAACTCCCAGTCTCCCTTACCCTGCCCTTTTTTTTTTCCCAAAGGCTAGTTTACATAGCTTTATTTTTATTTTGTTTGTTTGTGTTTAATCCTCACTCGAGGACATTCTTCGATACTTTGTTCAGATAGAGTGGGAGGGAGAGAGAGAGAGAGAAACATCAACATGAAAGGGACACATCGAGTGGCCGGAGACAAACTGCAACCGAGGTACGCGCTCTCAGCGGGAACCAAACCCAGGTCTCTCCGGACCACAGGCCGATGCTCTAACCACTGAGTCAAACTGGCCAGGGCTTCCTTACCCTGCTCTTAACTTTTCTATATCACTCATTATTGCTAATATATTATGATATTGTGTTTATTATTATTGACTGTCCCCTACCCCATCCCTTAAGTGCCATGAAGATTTGTGTCTTCTTTGTTTACTGATATTTTCCTAGTGCCAAAAATAGTGCCTGAAATACAGGAGTCACTCAGTAAACATTAGTTCACTGATAAAACTGGTAGGATTCAGACATAGCCCGTCCACACCAGAACCTGTGTTCTTAGTCACTACACTACTTTCTCTTATGAGTGTAGTGTTCCTCCCAAAGTGAATGAGAGAAGGAACAGGCAAACGAAAACAGCATCCCTGCACTGGTCCGTGTGATTCAATTGGTTGGGCTTCATCCTGTGGACCAAAAGGTTACTGGTTCAATTCCTGGTCAGGGCACATGCCTGGGTTGCGGGCTTGATCCCCAGTAGGGGGCATGCAGGAGCCAACCAATAGCTGTTCTGCTCTCACATAGATGTTTCACTTTCTCTTTCCCTCTCTCTTCCTTTCTAAAAATCAATAAAAATATTTTTTACAAGAAAGCAGTATCCCTAATCTGTCTAATTTCACTGCATTATTATATGTCTTCAAGGAAATAAACAACAAATTGCTGCTATTAGACAAGTTGTTTTATAAATGGCAATCCAGAAGAGCACTTCAGCTCCATTTAAAATGCAGTGTTAATCTTTCCATTTTACACATACTAAACAAGAAGGAGGAGACATAGTAGTATTCTAGAGTCAGCTGGAAGAGATGAAAATCCAAGCCAGTTTATAAGCCAATATTTGAAGATACTTGTCCTAAATGGGTAACCACTCCCCTTTGGCATCCAGTCTGTTTCTGATCTACCTCTGGAATTTTAGTTCTATTTGGATAAAGGCAGAGCCTGCCCCACAGTTTCTAGGGGCTAGCCCAGGCCAGAACCCCTCTGACCATTTGTGATCTTGGGGGCCAGAGCAGCAGATGTCTAAGTGAAGAGCAGACTGGCGTTTGGAATTGGCAGAGAGACAGAAGAACTCTGCTACATTTATTTTCCTTTGTTATTTCATTTAGCCTGCAACACTAATGGCAAAGAATGAAATGTTTATGTGTAAAATAAAGCATTTCATATTAATTTGCTGGTGAAATCTGTTCTTAGATCTTACCAATGCTGAAGTCAAATTTTAATTTCTCTTTTGGAGAATTTTACCCTTTTCCCCACTGAGTGCATTATGCCTAATAGTAGTCTCCATTTATCAAATTTCTGTGTGTCATACACAGTAATGCTTCTATGCGTTATCATTCCTAGCCACAACAACTCTCTATTGAAGAAACTGGCTCAGAAAGGTTGAGTCAACTTGCCCAAGATCCACCACTAGCAAGAGAAAAGACTAGGATCTGAACCTATTGTACCCTTAACCACCTCTGATGACACTACATTGAGCCATCAGTAGGTTAATTATCCAGAAGGGGCCATGGTTTCTATCCCATTTTATTTTATTTATTTATTTTTTTTTTTCCCTCACCTGAGGACATATTTCCATTTTTTGTTCAGATAGAGTGGGATGGAGAGAGAGGAAGAGAGAGAGAAACATCGATGTGAAAGGGACACATCGAGTGGCTGCCACCCGCACGACCAACCAGGGCTGGGGACAAACTGCAACCAAGGTACGTGCCCTTAGCGGGAACCGAATCTGGGTCTCTCTGGACCGCAGGCCGACGCTCTAACCGCTGAGCCAAACCAGCCAGGGCTCTATCCCATTTTAAAAGTTTCATTAAAGGGACAATAAATATATTCCATTTATTTCCTAGGTGAATTCCATAAGTGTGTAACGCAGAGGGAGAAACACAAACATATCACCTCTCCTTCATATCACACAGTGGTTAGAGTTTCATCCTTTAGAAAATCACAGGGCAAGCATTGAAAGTAACATTTAGCCATCAGTAAACAGTTAACATGAAATTATAACCATAGGCAAGTGAGTGGTGTTGATAATGTTCTCCTGTCTCACTGCCCTTTCTTCTTATCCTTAGCACTGTTGTATAGTGTCTCCCATGGACTACTGCAAAGACCTCGCTCTAATCTGCTCTCTCCACTCCTCTGTCCAATTCATCTTCTGTACCTATAGTTATCTTTTCTTTTTTATTTATTGATTTTAGAGAGAGAGGAAGGGAGAGGGAAACATCGATAAGAGAATATCGATTGGCCGCCTCCTGCATGCCCTCCACTGGGGATCAGACCCACAGCCTGGCCATGCACCCTGACCAGAATCGAACCGGCAGCCTCTTGGAGCATGGGTTGACGTTCAACCACTGAGCCACACCAGCTGGGCACCTGTAGTTATCTATTAAAAACATAGGTCAGCCCTGGCCAGTTTGGCTCAGCGGTTGAGCGTCAGCCTGCGGACCAGAGAGTCCCGGGTTCGGTTCCCATTAGGGGCACGTACCACCAAAAAAAAAACACCAAAAAACATAGATCTGATCAAGACACTCTGCTGCCTGACAACCTTTAACACTCCCACCATATAGGACGGCCTTCAGTCCTGGCTGACCCTACTTGTCCTCTTCACCACCACTGCACCCTTTGCTCTACCCTGCAAGACTTTTGTCTTTTTGACAACTGTGCATTTGCAGAGCACCCTCTGGCAGACACCCATCCCTGCCCCTCCTTGTTCACTGGCTGAATTGCAGCTTATGAAGGTAGTTTTTTTTGTTTTTTGGTTTTTTTTATCCTCACCCGAGGACATTTTTCCAATTTTCCAATTTTTACTCAGATAGAGCGGGAAGGAGAGAGAGGAAGAGAGAGAAACATCGATGTGAAAGGGACACATCGAGTGGCTGCCACCCACACGACCCAACCAGGGCCGGGGACAAACTGCAGCCAAGGTACATGCCCTTAGCGGGAACCGAACCCAGGTCTCTGTGGACCACAGGCTAATGCTCTAACCGCTGAGCCAAACCGGCCAGGGCATGAAGGTAGTTCTTTATCTTTATTATAGGTAGCACCTTATTTTTACCACATGATAAAGTTTATTGACATGTTGTAATTATGTATGTCTCTCTTTCCATTTGACTTTAGGCTCCTTAAAGGCAGGACAGTGATCTGTTCACATTTGCATTTTCATACCTGACATCATTTCTGGCATCAAGAGAGATAGAATACATTTGCCTTGACTAAGTGGATGGCATTTACGAAGTTTTCTCTCTCATTTCTGAAGGATTTTATCTCACATATGCTCAGTGAAGAAGTGGATAATAGCTTTTCTATACTACTGTTTTACTCTAGTCTCAATAGATGAGGCAAATTAAAAAGGCAAAGTTGAACTGACCCTGAAGGGGAAAGAAAAGCATACATAAAATTGGAGTACATCTATACCAGTGTTTTATCTTGCATTCTGATGGATTCTGACCACTTTTCAACTTACTTAACATGACATACCTGTGTCCCGACCTGAGGACCTTATTGAAGGAGAAATGTATTCCTAGAAAGTCCCTCAAGAGATTTATAATGGGCTTCTCTGAGTTTGACTGATGTTCTGAATTTACTCAGGCTGGGAGGCTATTAATCTACTCCCAAGTGGCTAAATCTCTTCTTCTCTCCACAGGGAAACAACTGGAAGGCATCTGGTGAGTTGGGTGGGACTCCTCACGTTGACTGGTTTACAAAACAGAACTATGCCTTGCGTCCAGGTCCAATCTGTGACTCCACCTTGAAACCCAGCTCTGCGTCATAACCCTTTTTCAATGTAACGCAGTGGTTCTCAACCAGGGATTATTTCTTCTGTGTGTCTTCCCCCCACCCTCTCGGGACATTTGGTGGTGTTCAGACACATTTTTGGTGGGTGGGTAGAGGCCAGGGCTTCTGCTCTAAACATCCTACAATGCACAGGACAGCCCTCCCTCTACAGCAAAAAATTCATTACTCGGCCAAAAATGGCACTGGTGCTGAGACTGCAAAACCCTGTCCTAAAGAAAGGCAGAAGGGTGTCCTGTCCACCCCTGACCAAGGCTAACTACAGAAGTCTCAGGGCCCCACAAGTCTGTCTTGAAACACATCTACTTTGGTTTCTCACCACTGGACCCATCCCTGTCAGACCACAAGATGGTGGCTGAGCTCTCAGCTCCATTTATGAGGAAACCATAGGTTAGTATTCGGTCTTGACTCCTAGACACTGCTGACATTGGATTGACCAAAATGACCCTTTGCTTTGTTTGACTTGAACCAAATAATATGAACATCTTCACCTGAAATAGGTCCACACTTGACACCTCTAGTCTTTCCCTCAGCATGGTCCAGGTGAGCTGCTCCTGTTTAAAAAGCCTGGGACCACCCCTTGGTCTGCAGTCTTTATTTTAGTAATTGATTTGTCAATATTGGGGTGACTTCCCTCTGCTCACATGATCTACAGCAATGGTTCTCGACTGGGGACAATTCTGAGATATTTGGTGTCTGGAGACATGTTTGGTGTCACAGCTGAGGGGGTAGGGGATGCTACTGACATCTAGTGGGTGGAGGCCAGGATGCTGCTAAACATCCTGTACTACACAGGACAGCCCCACTATAAGGATTTGTCCAACTCCAAATGTCAGTAGTGCCAAAGTTGGGAAACCCTAATCTGTGGTATTTATCTTGCCTTTGTTTGGTTAGTTTTATAAGGTGTTGACCACAGTCCTATCCTTGGGCAGAAATTGTTCTCATTGCAGTGTGGTGATTGCTTTTTCTCAGACTGGTTTTAAGTTTCCTGGCTTATTCTGTCTCTTCTCTGGGTTGCAGGCACACCTCCATAGTTGTACACAAAGATGAGTTCTTCTTCGGCAGTGGTGGTATCTCCAGCTGTCCTCCGGTAAGTGTCTTTCCCCACATCCTGTCCTGCAGTCTCCGGTTCCTGGAGACCAGGAACTTGGCTGCTACTCTCTATGTTCTGGCTTCTGGCCGAGTGTATGTCGACCTGAGGTGTAATTCTCATAACTACCTGAAGACTCAGTTTAAGAGAACCCTCCCAGATCCTTCAGCCAATTGCTCTCCTCTCTGCTTCCATGACACTTTTGGGTCCCTCTGTGTCACACTGAGCATGTTATGGTGAAAAGAGCTGTTCCTGGGGGGAATCAGTGGGGGGAAAAGGAGAAACATCTGTAACAAAAATTAATCAATAAAAAAAAAGAAAAAAAAAAAAGAAAAGAGCTGTTCCTGAGTCTCCACAAGGAACTGTGTGGAAAGTCCATGTGAGCTGAGACTGTATCTCACTTTCCTATCCCCGTGATCAGCTCAGTGCCTGGCTCGGTGTGAACTCAGCCATCATGGAGCTGAATGAGGGCTCTGAAAGGTAAAGTGAGTTGCCCAAAGTCACATGGCCAGTAAGTGGCATCAGTGCTAAAACTCGGGCCTCTGACTCTAAATCCCATGCCATTTTCCAAAAATGTCTGTCTAAGCTATCTAAAGATTGTCACAGGAGGTTCTCAAAGACCACGCAGCCATTCATTTTGATACTCATAAATGGGAAATCATTCTTGGTTTCTTCTCACTGGTCCCCTACCTCCTATAACAAATCCTTCATTAAGCCCAGTCAGTTCTACCTTATAGACATGTCTTAAATCAGTCTGTCTTTCTTCATCTGTCCCCATTTCTCCAGAACTTTCACCTTAATCCAGGCCACCCCCATGTCTAACCTGGACCACAGCAGTGCTCTTCGTCAGTCAGTTCTCCCCCGGGAGGCAAAGTGACCTTTGCAAAATGAAAATCTGATCATGGCATTCCCCTGCTTAAGTCAACTCTCCCCACTGCTCTTGGAATAAAAGCCAGAAAGCCCAGCATGACCGCCAAGGCCCTAACTGGTCTCGGGCTCCCTCTCTGGATGGCCTCTTAGCAAGTCAGGCCCTTGCCCACCCTGTCTCTCTTCTCACTCCTTGGACATTTAAACCTGTCCTCTGACATCAGTCCACCTCCCTAATCCTTCACCTTGTTAAGCCTCTTCATCCTTCAGATTTGAGCTCAGTGTCACTTCTCAGGCAAGTCTTCCCTGACCCTTCAGACTGGGACGGTCTCCTGTTACATGTACTGATGGCATTCTGTAGTTTTCCAGCAAGACCCTTATTGTAACTCATAATAATACATTGGTTTGTGAGATTTTTATTGTCTACCTTCCCTACTAGACTATAAGCTCCCTGAGGGCCAGAATCTCATCTATTTTGTCTACATCGTACCCCCAATGCCTAGCATAAGGCCCGGCACATAGTAAGTTCTCAATACATATTTGTTATATGAGTGAATAATAGGAGGGTCACATAGTGACCTTTTAGTCTCCTGTAACTATGAGATCATTTTTCTCTGCCTACTACGATTACCCTGCTCACCATGCCTTCCCCAGGGCCTGGAACAAGGTCATGCATGTCGTAGGTGCTTACTAGCTGTTGCATAAATCCCTGGTCTTTGCAGGGAGCTCTGCTCTGGAGTGCTCTTCTTTTTCCAGCTTATTCACAGCTTTGTCCTCTCCAGTGATCCTGTTGCTACCTCCTTGGCTGGTTTCCCCACTGGGCCTCAGTCTCTTCCTTGGTCGGCTGTGCCAGTCTGTTTTTCAGCCCATGGCTGAGGGTTTACTGTAGGCTTTTCAGGGGCCATTAACTCCTTTGCCTGGGGAACCTTATTAGTATCATTAGATTATCCTCACAGATCATAAAAGAACTGAACTGTGGAAATATTGCCAGCCTACCCGACTTCTCACAGTCCTTCATATGTTCCCAATGTTCGAGGGTTACCTTATGTAAGCACAGAAAGATGGCCTGTCAGGTGGGAGCCACTGCTAGTTGTCCTGTTCTGCCCTCATGACCAGGCATGTTGGGGACAAAGGGAAACTTCAGATTCTGAGTTCCTATCTTTTTATTAACTGAATGAGTGGACAGTGTTAGAAGCCCGACTTTTAGCCATCTTTCTATCCCTGGCAATGGAAAGTCTCCAGGAAGCTCTAAACCATTGTAGCCCTGATACAAATAAGAAATAACACTCTTCATTGGCCTGGTGTGCTCTGAAAGTTAAAGGTTGTCGGAACAGAGCATTTGTGGTCGTCCATGGAAAGGCACATTAAAAAATTCAATGGCAATAGTAATTTAATGACTTTCTTTGGGTTGGCTTTTTTAGGGAGGGACATTGCTTGGGCCCCCAGACTCTGTGGTTGATGTGGGGAGCACAGAAGTCACAGAAGAAATCTTTCTGGAATACCTGTCCTCCTTGGGGGAGTCTCAGTTCCGGTGAGTGGAGACAGGGGTGGTGGTTAGTTGTGTCTGTCTCCCCGACTAGATAGTCACCCCCAAGAGGGCAGCCACCAGGGCACATCCCCCAGAACACTCAGCACAAGGTCTGGCCCAGCATTTGCTGACTAAATATGAAGAGCTCAGCGTTGCTCCGAGACCGATATTTCATCCCCGCAGACCTTCTGCTGAAACTTTGAGGAAAGGACGGGCTATTGATTCCTTCTGATGAAAATCAGCTGCTGCTATTTCAGCAAATGCTGCTCTCAACCCACACTGGCCAAGTATTTTGTCCAGAAAATCAAAAACAAGGTTTGTAGGGGGGTTGGGATAAAATACAAACTTGAGCAGATTTTCTCCTAAAGTGTTAAACTCTTACCCTAGAGCTCTGCTTTTGTGAACGTAAAGATTCTCCTGAAATTGTAGAGGCGCCTCATGATTATATCTCATCCTTCCCTTCAAAACCTGTTTTCAATGGTCCAGTGAGGCGAATCCAGCGTCCTTTGGAGCGTGAGAGAAGGGAAATCAGCCCTCAGATTCGGCTGTGCTCACCCTGTCATTGCTGGTTTGAGTTAGTTCATACACTTGCTTGCTGACTCTCTCACATCTTACTCCTTTCTCACAATGTGCAGAGGTGAGGCCTACAACCTCTTTGAACACAACTGTAACACCTTCAGCAACGAAGTGGCACAGTTCCTGACCGGGCGGAAGATCCCTTCTTACATCACTGACCTTCCTTCTGAAGTTCTATCCACGTAAGTGGCCTCTGTCTCTGCCCCCGCCTTTGAAATTCCCATTCACAGTCAGTGCCACTCCTCTGCCCATGTCTGCCCTTCCCTGGTTTTGGATGGGCCCTGTCATGGCCTCTTGGAACACAGAAAGCCACCGTTTTCTCTACTCACCGACGCGTACCTGTGTCACCTTCATTCACCCTTTTGGAGTTGGATCACTACCCTGGTTTGAGTGCAATCACAGAACTTAGAAACCCACTTGTACAGTATCCTGGCATCTGTCTTTCCCACTGCACATGAAACATGTCATGCCCCGGAAGTGCTCGCTTAAAATGCAGTTTTAGAGAGAAGCAGAGTCAGAGAATTTGGAGCGGCTTATTGTTAGTCTTTCTTCCCCTGTACCATGAACTCTTTGACGCCCTCAAACACAGCTTCCTCTTGCCCTTGTACCTTGTGGGCCGTCACCCAGGCAGTCCCTTGAAAGGACACACACCCACCCAAAGCCATCACACCTCTTTCTTCCCTTGCTAGTGACTGCGTTCAGGCAGCACTGCCCACTCCAGGACCATGTCCATGTGTTGACTCTGGCTCATTTTCTCCTGAACCGGGGCCCTGTCCAACAGGGATCCTGGCAGGTTTGGCAGGCTCAGCAAGGTGAGCTGTTTTTCACACCTGGGTAGGAACCCCTCTGGAGAAACTCGCATAAGAAACAAGATGGGTGGAGTCCCTGGACTTGTCTGAATTAAGGTTACTATTTCATCTGTTTGTGCTTTGAAATAAATACTTCATTCCCTTTTAACTTGGGGAAGATTTCCACCGAAGGAAATCTTTACCCCAGGAACTGAGATGTGTTGTGGGCGACCTGTTTTAAGGTTAAAGTAACCTTGAAAGTCTTGAAGATCCAGTGTTTGCAGTGTTTCTTCAGCCAAGCTCCTCTGAGAACAGACGGGGAGCCCTTTACAAAGCGGCAGTAACTCCTGACGGCCTGCACATGTTGTCTTTCCTACTTTTCCCTGTACCCTAGCAGACCTCAGTTCCTGGAGGAATCGCATTCCTGACTTGACCTTTTTCATATCCTTTTTTTTTTTTCTCTATTGATTTGAGAGAGAGCGGAAGTGAGAGGGAGAGAGAGAGAGAGAGAGAGAACATTGATTGGCCACCTCCTGCATGCCCCCCACTGGGTATTGGGCCCACAACCTGGGCATGTGTCCTGACCGGGAATTGAACTGGTGACTTCTTGGTGTATAGGTTGATGCTCAACCACTGAGCCACACTGGCCAGACCATATATATATTTTTTTACTCCGGTTCCTCATTAAACTTTATTTGTTTATTTATTTTATTATTACTTTTTTTTAATCCTCACCCGAGGACATTTTTCCATTCCTTGTTCAGATAGAGTGGGAGGGAGAAAGAGAGAGAGAGGGGAACATTGACGTGAAAGGGACACATCAAGTGGCTGCCACCCGCACGACCAACCAGGGCCGGGGACAAACTGCAACCAAGGTATGTGCCCTTAGCGGGAACCAAACCCGGGTCTCTCTGGACCACAGGCCGACGCTCTAACCGCTGAGCCAAACCGACCAGGGCAAACTTTATTTTTATCTTGTACCATGAGAATTCAAGATAGAAGTTCAGAAAGTACAGGCGGCGCTACTTCCCTGTATGTAGCCAGCCTGTTCAAGCCCAGCTAACCAGGACCTAGAGGCAAAGGGAGTAAGATGGTAGCATCTACTGGGGAGGGGACCCCAGGAGTCAAAACAGAGCAGGCTATTTAGAGATCCCCTCCATGAAAAACCAGGTGGGAGGCAGGTGAGCAATTGAAATGAGGGAAGGGTGTCCTTCCCCGTGAGGTGGTGCCACTGCACCTGCGGCTGGAGCTGGGCGTGCTGGCGCCTGTGCCCGCCGACGCTTGAGAGCCCACCCCAGCTCATGTGTCTGTTTTCTCCGCAGCCCCTTCGGACAGGCCCTGCGGCCTCTCCTGGACTCCATCCAGATCCAGCCTCCTGGAGGGAGCACCGTGGGCCGACCCAATGGCCAGAGCTAACAGGACTACATGGGACCGCCCTGCCTCACCAGGGCTTTTCCTTTTTAAACAAAACAAACCCTACCAGATTTCTATTTTATAATTTTACATCAGAGCTAACAACCAGGGGACAGCTTTTTAAAATTTCCCAGGAAAGGAGATCATCAAGCTGCATGTGGGACAATGCTGCTAAGAAACAGAACAAAACGCCGTCCCTTCTAATAGTATTACACTAATTTATTAAGGCTGTCTTGTCTGTGAGTTCACTCGTGACGCTGTTTCCTAAGCGTCCTCCACGCTCGAGGAAGGGAGAGGGTTTGTTTAAGCAGAAAGCAGGAAGCACAGTTTGGGGGAGCCCCAACCTAAAACCTCTTTCCAGAGAATGCCCTTGCTCTACTCAGGTTGCCACCACCTGTGGGGACCAGGTGAGTTTTACAACAGCCACGACCTGGAAGCAGTTCCTCTTGTGTTAAGCAAACCAAAGGAGTTGGTGTACGTGGAACCAGTTTCAGGATGACTCACCCAACCTAAGTGAACTGTAGCCACATCCTGCGTCACCTTCCCTCCACTACCGCAAGCGAGGCCATGGGCCCAGAGCTGGAACAGCCAGAAGCCTCAGGATCGAGGGAGAAGGACAGCAAGTGTCAGGCAGAGAAAACAAGATAAAGCCATTCCTCCTTCCTCCTAGACTGAGTGCCAACCTCTGACATCAACTTTGGAGAACCTGCCTTGCTGCCTACAGGCTGCGCTTCCTCGGCATGGCTGACCTGTCGTAACTGAGGCAGGTCTGGGCTGGAGCAGCAGAGCCCAGGCCTTTTGTCTGCAAGTAGTAATGTAGGTTATTGCGGTCACTGTACCCAGCCAGACCAGTGCAGTATTCAGCTGGGGACCAACGGGAAGGGTTCCCTGCTCCAGGAAAATGTCCCTGACATAGAATAATAATGCAGAATCAAGGTGGCAAGAAATTTTGGGTTGTTTCTGATAGGAATGTGTACATTATCCTAAATGTGTTTTGAAGACACGTGTTGTTTCCATTGTCTTTCTGACCCTAAAGAAGCATGGTGGGGGTGCGTGTTATGAGCTGCTGCTGAGAACTTAGGCAGGGAACAGTTTGGAAGCTTCTTACATAGAGAGGCTTTAAGATTTCTCTTTCTTCACTTGAGCTTCCCCTTAAGTTAGTTTTTGGGAAAGTGAGGGTGGAGAGAGGACTCAGCTGCCAGGCACCTGGGGCCAGCTCTGGCATTGCCCCTCTTGCACTCCTCCTGCCATGTCTCAGACTTGAATTAGTTGTCTTTCCTGGGGTCTGGCCTGCAGCAGGTGCCTTTCCTCTCCACAAGCTGCTGCTCCCCTCTGGCCACCTCTCCTGCCTGTGCCATCAGCCAAAGCAGTTGGCATCATCAGGGGCTCAGCTAAAGGGGAAATGTTATTCTGCCTCAGTTTTGCCTGTGACCTGAGCAGGGGCACATCCTTAATGACCAGCTGTGATGTCAAGTAACATTTTGCAACTTTTAAGATTGGAAGCCAAACCAATGAGCAGTTGAATTCTTCTCAAGACCCACTGATTTACCAGAAGGCATGATAGCGATACATTAGAGCAGAAACGGGCAGGTCTTATGCTCAATCTTCACTGACTGGCAGAATGGCCATGGAGAATAGGTTTCAGGCTGGCTTTCTCCTGGGAGGCAGTATGTTGGTCCAGGCCATCGCTTCGCTTCCTATGTGGGTTTCTCTCCTTTTCCAACTTGCCTTGCCCAGCCCTCTCTCCACCAGACTCTGGCTCCAGACCTCTGCCCACAGAGCTCTAGCCAGAGGGTGTGGGCATCACAAGCTCCTTCTCTGTCCTCCATCTCCAGGCCTAACTGGTTTCACTCCTCCCAGCGGTCACCTTCAGACCGAGGGCTGTACTAAAAAATGGCTCCCCTAAGAGACTTTGAGTCACTTGGCTCATTGAAAGTCCCCTTCATGCCCAGCAGCCATTTGTGCCAATGCCTGTGCCCTAGGGGAGAGACAGGGATCAGTAAGCCATCTTCTCAGAGCCCTGCAGGAAAGCAAGCTCTCACTCCCTCCTCCACCCGAGTCCCACCGGCACTAACTCAGAAGCCCAGGCTCAGGCTTCTCCCCACCCCAACCCATCCTCACATTTCTCTGTCTCCCAGCACCTCAGGAGCGTGTCCATTGTGCCCAGCCATCTCCACATGGGTGTACACAGGCAGCCAGAGTGACAAGTGAGCCATGTGTGCCATTGTAGTGCATAGCGGACCCCTCCGTAGAGGTCCACTAGTTTAAAGGGACAAGGAAGAAGGAGGAATGAGACCGGCACCCCTACCAGAAATAAAGCTTGTACCTTTAAGATTCCTTTTGCCCTTGAAGTCAAACTAATAACTGTTTAGTAAGGAGGTGTTTGCTGGTTTTCTTTGTTGTTTTTTCTAATGCAATAAACTCACTCTGCCTGCTGCATTTGTGTCATGCTTGAAAGTCGGTGTGCATCCAACATGAAAAAAGCCCTGGCTTCTTTTTTTTTTTTTTTTTCCATTTATCTTGAGATAGAGCAGGAGGGAGAGAGGGGGGAAGAGAGAAAGAGAGAGAAACATCGATGTGAAAGGGACACATCGAGTGGCTGCCTCCCACACGACCGAACCAGGGCCGGTAAAAACTGCAACCGCAGTACATGCCCTTAGCGGGAACCGTACCCAGGGCTCTCTGGACCTCAGGCTGACACTCTAACCGCTGAACCAAACCGGCCAGGGCAAGCCCTGGCTTCTTGAACTGTCTCCCTCTGAGCTTGACTTTGTTGAGTGTGGATATGCCGACTTTGCTTGGTTGTTGTAAGCCTTACAGATAAGTGATGATAGCAGGGAAGAGTATATGACTTTCACCATGGGTTTATAAAGATGGAGAAAGGGCCCAGGGAGAATGCTGCTTGCCCAGGGTCACCTCACAGCTCATGGTAGAATAAAGCTCAAAAGCCTGGTCTGCTGGCCCCAACTTCTGAAATCTTCCCCTAGACGACCTTGGCCATCAGGGCATGCCTGACATCACCAAGAGTACTCATTTCTGGTTTCAGTTTGGCTATAGACTGGGTCTGTGGCCCCAGGGATCTCTCCCCACCTTGTTACCGTAACCTCATTGAACAAGTGGTGGGTGAGTGACAGCTCTCCAAATGTTCCCTGCTACTACCAGACACCCAGCTGGACTGCAGGTGTCTGCAGATTCAGTCATCCCCTCTGAGAAAGCACTGTCCATGGGCCCAGCCTGTGCTGGTGCTTTTACACAACAGACTGGAAATGTGGGTACTGGCCCCATTTACAGGTGGGAAGCTAAATTATCCAGGTGGCTGAGCCCTTGAGTCCAGGCCATGTTCTCATCACCACACCAAGACATCGCTGAGGTACTGAGTCTTTCCAACATGCTGGTTTAAGAATAAAGAGGTTCTGTCTCTCCAGAGGACACAGCACAGGTAGCTTTGGTTGACGTATTTGCTTCCCAAGAGCTGACATGTTCAGAGACAGGAGTCCTTAAAAATGCCTGCCCTGAGATCACACATTCTGGGCCTTAGTCCTAACTTTGCTTGTGGGCCAGTCTGTTTCTCTCCTCTGTAAAATGGGACATTCCAATGGGACCTATCTCACAGGGTGGCTTTGAAGAGAATCAATGTAAAGCACTTTGCCCAGTGCCTGACACAGATTAGGTGCCCATGAATATCAAACTGAGGGCAAAATTCATTCAACAGCCACTGACAGGACTGCAAGCCAACTCCATGTAGAGGCCCCAGCCAATCCTCTGCTGAGAACCGTTTACAAGACAAGGCACTATAGACACACACCGCCTGCTTCTGGGGGAAATGGCAGAAAACATACTTGACCCTTAGTGACTCATGGCAAGTCAGTCTTGGATAAGTTCATTCAACCCCACGAGCGTTTCTCTGAGAGCCCACTGTGTGTGAAGCAGCAGTGGCTCCTGTGCTAGGGGTACAGACAAGGCCCTGCCAGGCAGGGGTACTTCTGGGGATGCTGGGAGACACAAAGGTAGACAGTCGGTCATCTCAGGTGGCCACAGTGCTTGGGAAGAAAAAACCAGGTGCAGCATAGTGTGAGGGAATGTGTGCTAGGAGTGGGGAGAGTTTATGTGACGAGGTCAGGTTTAATCCGAGACCTAACAAAGCCCAGATCTGAGGGAACAGCATCCCAGGCACAGGGAGCAGCAAGTGAAAAGAACGTTGGAGGGCCCTGGCTGGTTTGGCTCAACGGTTAGAGTGTCGGTCTGCGGTCCAGAGAGACCCGGGTTTGGTTCCCACTAGGGGCACATGCCTCGGTTGCAGTTTGTCCCCGGCCCTGGTTGGATTGTGTGTGTGGCAGCCACTTGATGTGTCCCTTTCACATCCATGTTTCTCTTTCTCTCTCTCTGTCCCTCCCACTCTATCTGAACAAAAAGTGGAGAAATGTCCTTGGGTGAAGATAAAAGAAAAAGAACGTTGGAGGGACTAAGGGAGACCAGAGTGGCTGAAGCACTAGAGAAATGTTGGGGGGAGTGGTTTGACTCTGGGGAGGCCCATGAGTCAGAGGGTGCAGGGCCCTGTAGATCCAAGAATGACATGATCAATCAATTGCTATATTGAGAATAGACTGGGGCAGGGAGGCAAGAAGGGCTTCAGAAAACCAGAGAGGGAGGGCAGTGCAGTTGTCAGGCAGGAGGGGAGATGTACTGTGCATTGCTATGTGCCTGGAGCTGTGAAGAAGCCTTGGGATTTGGTTTGGTCCCTGCGCCCCAGGGGCTTAATGTTCCGGGAGGAACAGAACACAACAGAACTGTGCTGCCCTGGCCAGTTTGGCTCAGCAGTTAGAGTTTTGGCCCACGAATCAAAGAGTCACGGGTTCGATTCCAGTCAAGGTCATGTACCTCAGTTGCAGTTCATCCCCAGCCCAGTTCTGGTCGTGCGAGAGGCAACAAGTCAATGTGTCAGTCTCGTGTCAATGTTTCTTTCTCTCTCTCCCTCCCTCCCTTCCTCCCACTCCATCTGAGGATAAACAAAAAAATAACCTCAAGGATTAAAAAAAGAGGAAGAAGATTGTGAAGGCAAGAGCTACAGAGATGCCCGGCTGGTGTGGCTCAGTGGTTGAGCATCTACCCACGCACCAAAAGGTCACTGGTTTGATTCCCGGTCAGGGCACATGCCCAGGTTGTGGGCCAAATCTCCATTGGGGGCCATGCAGGAGGCGGTCAATCGATGTTCTGTCATTGATGTTTCTATCTCTCTCTCCCTCTCCCTTCCTCTCTCTCTAAAATCAATAAAGAAAAAAAATTTTTTTTAAAAAAGAGCTACAGGGACTACAGAGGCGTTGTCAGCCATTTGCCCTGCTTCCATGAGATTTTACTGGTCTGGTCTAGCTCTGATTTGGGGTGTGCTTAGATTTCTTTTGTTTTTTCCAAAATGAAAATAAATTTTTGATTATATGAGTATAAAGATAATATATGCCCTGGCCGGTGTGGCTCAGCAGTTAGAGCATCGGCCTGTGGACCAATGGGTCGCGGGTTCAATTTCTGTCAAGGGCACGTACCTCAGTTGCGATTTGTCCCCGGCCCTAGTTGGGGTTGTGCAGGAGACAGCCACTCGATGTGTTCCTCTCACGTTAATGTGTCTCTCTCTCTCTTCCTCTTTCTCCCTCCCACTCTATCTGAACAAAAGTGGAAAAATGTCCTCCGGTGAGGATTAAAAAATAAAAAAGATAATATATATTTAGCCCAGCGAGTGTGGCTCAGTGGTTGAGCATCGACGCATGCACCAAGAGGTTGCCAGTTCGATTCCTGGTCAGGGCACATGCCCAGGTTGTGGGCCCGATCCCCAGTGAGGAGCATGCAAGAGGTGGCCAATTGATGTTCCCTCTCATCGATTTTTCTATCTCTCTCTCCTCTCTCTTCCTATCTCTCTAAAATCAATTAAGAGCCCTGGCCGGTTTGGCTCAGCGGTTAGAGCATCGGCCTGCGGTCCGGAGAGACCCGGGTTCAGTTCCCGCTAAGGGCACGTACCTCGGTTGCAGTTTGTCCCTGGCCCTGGTTGGTTGTGCGGGTGGCGACCACTCCATGTGTCCCTTTCACGTCGATGTTTCTCTCTCTGTTCCTCTCTCTACCTCGCACTCTACCTGAACAAAAAATGGAAAAATGTCCTCGGGTGAGGATGATAAAAAAATAAAAAATAAAAAAAAAATAAAATCAATTAAGAAAAAAATATTTAAAAAAAACAAACCAAAAAGATAATATATATTTAGAAAATGTAAGCAACTAATACAAAGAGGAAAGGGGAAATTCATCTATAATTCCATCATCCTGAGAGATGTTTGCATTTTGTGAACATATTTGCAGATGTTCCTGTGGATTTGAAGACACACATGGTAGACGTGCTGTGTGGTACCTGGCTTTGTTCTCTCAACATGTAGTGAGGCTCTGGTGAATGCACAATACAATGTACAGATGACGTGTTGTGGAATTGTGCACTTGAAACCTGTGTAATTTTGTTAAAGTGTCACCTCAATAAATTCAATAGAAAGGGGAAAATGAAACCATGTAGTGAGGCTCCAGCAAGGTAAGAGTAGGCTGCTCATCACAGATGTGTGCATGGAAGCAAGATGGCTATGGAGATGGCCTAGCAGGAAGGTGCCTGCCCAGGCTGGCGGGTTCCACCATGAAATCCATGTCTCCTCAGGCTCACATAGGGCCCTCTGGCCTGAGAGGGCAAAGAACCCACTAGGTGTCTGGCATATTTCTGATTGTGAGCCCTTGGCCACGGAGCTTGGCTGCTTTGAAAGGGGAATTCGGGCTCCTGATCAACCCTGTGGACTAGGAGTTCAGTCCCCTGCAGAGATCTCTGCCACCCCCCCACCCCCAACCTTCCCACCCCCGCTGAAAAGAGCCAGACAAGGTCACAGCAGTGAGAGGGATGGACACCAGGTGGCGCTGTGCACACCACACCGCCCAGCCGACCCCAACGGCCAGACTCCGCTTGCCTCAGGCACCTCATGTCACTTGACTATGCCCTGCTCCCCACACACCTCTACCCTAAAGAGCCCGCGAGGCAACACATTTATCAAGGCCGTCTTGAACTTGTCCCCAGACCTCTCCAAATCCCACACCCTGCTGCAAGATCAGGTTCCTATCCCTGCAGGCGGTTTCCACCTCTGGCCTCATTTGCCGGACTCACCTATCCTCAGAGCAACCCTTTGCCTGGTGCTAAAGGCCCGGTGCCAGCACTTCCACTGCAAAGCCTTCCTGACCTCTCCCGATGCACAGCCACCCCTTCCCTCCTGTGGGTGCCTCCCCGAACACTCCTGCCAGCTGGATCACAGCCTGGCTGTGATCTTCTGAGTGCCCAGCACCCAGCACAGGGCCTGGCACAGAGCTACCATCACAGAGTGAATCAGTAGGCTCACACTGAGGGAAGAGTGGGACATAAAAAACCCTGGA